ACTAGCGAGGAGACTTGCGACGACTTTCGAAAACATTGAATCTTTTCATTAATATAATATTCTTTCTGAAAGCATTTGTGTTCCTTTTTCCAACAGAGTTGACTGATGAAAATTGGAGAAAATTGGAGCAGTGCAATGCAGAATCTGATTAACCACGACTGTGATAACAATGGCCAATATACTTCTGATACTAGGATAGAAGTTTTCTAATCTAAACGATTAAGGTTTGAGCTGAGCACGTTTGCTAGAAGTAATTTTAATATCAATTTCCGCTTCAATCTTTACCATTGAGTTATTTCCACTTGTGAAAAGTTGTCCACGTAAGATCGCTTTGCGATTGAGTGTTGCGAGACCAAAATCAAACTCATCAAAATAAACCAATTAGAACAATGGAAATTCTGCAGCGAGCCAATAAGAACTCACAGTAAGACCACGAATCTTCTTTAAGGGCAGCAATTGGGATTTATTGGATTTAAGTTCTGCTTCCCCCCCCCCTCCCCGTGTTATAATGAGTAATCTATAGTATGCAAGAGATTTGTCCAAAATTCGACAATGATTATCCATACCATAGAATCCCACGAAACACCGACGGCTTCGCCAAGGACTTCGTCTATGAAAAGTATCTCTGATTTTCGTGAGAACTTTAAAATACGCAAGATTCCTTTACTCCTTTGCATCCGTGGTGGGTCATATTTACTCTGTGTTTTCATTTGCTTCTCCTTTTATTCCCTACTTTCTTCTTTGAAATGGGATAAGCGTAAGATTCTAGCTAACATACAATGATGTCTGGCCAGTATCTTCGGAGAGATCAGCCAACTGGGTTTTTCCATTGATTAAACAGCAAGACTCATCATTTTCTCTTCTTTGAAGCAATGCAGTCATCGCATCTAAAGAATCGCGAATACCTAGCTGTCTAAATTGGAGGACATGTTCCTCCAACATTTACAAAGGACATTTCCCCGCTGCATTTTTGTGTGTATGGCGGTATGTGTGGGATTCACGAAATTCTGTCCTTATCTCACGTCCCAGCAACACGCCCATGCCACATAACGATTAATGCGCACGGTACATCAAGTTACTCCTCCTACATTTTTCAGGATCATGTCTACGTTACAAGATTCCCTGTGTGGGACCACCATCATCTTACATTCTAGATAATTCTCTAAAGTGACAGAGAACTATTCTAGGGGTTTGAGTAGCCGAAGAAAGACGTCTGGTAGTCAGATATTTCAACTTTAATACCATGATATAACATTTTTAAATCAATAGGGATTATGTAGATTATGATCTTTCAAGAGGTAAAGTTTTGAAAGCTGAAAGTATAAACCTCATTAACTCTTCGTATCTAATTTAAAAGAACAACGAAGCGCTATTCTAACCTACCCATTTACTTCTGTAAGTTTTTCAACGAGATCTAAAATTGAATTAGCGATTGAGAGCATGACTGGTCTATTTGAAAGGTGATTTTTATGTGGACAGCTTTTCTCTTCCCTTAGATGATTCCAAGTAATTGTAATCATAGCATGTAACCCAAGTAACTAAGACCGTAGAGTTTGTTTGCTGTAAGCTATAAATTAAAAAAAATTAAGTAAATTTTATAAGTATTGGTGTTTCCCTGACTTAAAGTCTGTCACTTTGTGTTTTTGGCCTTAAAGCAGCTTTGGGGACTAAGGATGGTAGCATGTAGAAATTAACTGCGTTATTCTAAACTTCATAATTATCTTAAGTTTTTTCCATTTAACTCGCCGTTCTCCTTAAAATTAATACTTTCGACAGAAAACAACGGCGTTAGCTACAAGAACGGGGACAAACAAAATAAACAGCGAGAGAGTGCGTTTTAAAGTTTGAATAGCTGAAGTACAAGACTTTCTCTGGAGTAAAACCCTGGTGGCAATTTTTTATGCTCCAATTTGGCATCCTAGTTACGTGCTTTCGTCACAGATTAAGCTTAAGAGGGATCTGCCACCGATTAAGAATATGATTATGGCCATTAGCAAACTTGTCGGGATAAATGAATTGATTTTTTAAGCAATCATTTTCCTTGGTGTTACAGTCATAATCGTTTTGTTTCTAAATGCAAATCAGAGGGAACAACATCAGCCCTTCAGGAAGCTTAGCATGTTGTAACCGTAAAAAGAATTTTGTATATAGGCAATGAAAGGAAATCTTTAAAAAGTTCCCTTGCTTCTCTAATGGAGAACTTAGCAACGTCAGTCACTAAGCTAACAATTAATTTCCATCTGCCCTCATCCCTCGTCTACATGTTCTTCTTGGTAACAGTAATGAAACCCTCTTGCGGACTTTTCTTGTTGCTGAGTTGGTCGATCGAAAGATTCTTAGCGGGGAAATTGAAGAGTCAACTTCTCGCTCATGATTTAACATTTCCGGTCGATGAATATAAAAGACAAGAAAAGCTGAACTTGAATTGTTTTAACACTCCACAGAAAAAGTAATACGAAAAGTATGAGCCAAGAAATAAAACAATTTGATGACGGACGTATTTATTTCTACGTTTTTTTTCCCGATCCCGTAAGTTATTTTCACTCGTTAAAAACGCCAACTATTGGTGTACTTATCGTGGTTGCCGTTAACACTACTGTTACCTTCCCTCTTTGATGAGCCCCTCCTTACTTGGAGAGTTAGCACTTTTTTCGTTTTAAATATCAAAAGTTTTCAACCAAATTCATATAATACTCAAATCTGGGTGAAATAGGGATAAAAAACCGACAAGTTGCTCGTTGGCCTTTAGTTAGTCTTGAACAAATTCCCCTGCCCTTCCCCCTCCCTGGTGAGTTCTCCATCCCAAAACATTTCCTGCCCAAATATCATAAAGTACGTCATTGAAGAAACCGAAATTAATCATACCATGATATTGATACAGCTTGTCCGATTTAAATACGTGAAGTGAGAGTCAATGTTGGAGTGAATTAACGCATCAGAACTTAAAGGTTTTGTCTGCTGGGATCAAAACAGTATTTAACAACACGACTTTGTTTCAGACGGTATGTAGTTTTTATTCCTTTTCCATACTTGAACAAACACTGCTCTGATTCCAGCTATCCAATTATTTTATAGTATTTGAAAGTCTATAGATGACTATTTACAAAATCGTTCATAATATTTTCAATAACAAGATTGATGTATTAAAGTCCCTGGAGCGTCAAATTTCTCGGTGTATTCAGTACGGTCATAGCGCTTAGAAAACTAGAAATAATTTCAACTGTACTACGCTGAATTCATGGCAAGTTTGCCGGAATTATAATCAGGGGTCTCAAGTTCGAGTCTTTTACGCTGATTCTTGGCGAATTTTTCCTTGTTTGTCAATTTGAAGTTTCAAGATTTTTTGTGCGTTTCTCGCAGATAGCCAAGTGGTCTTTCTCTTCACTGTTAGGATTTAAATTCTTTTAT